GAGCCTGCTTCTCCCTCTGCCTGCCGCTCCCCCTGCTTGTGCGCTCTCTCTCTCTGGCAAATAAATAAATAAAATCTTTTCTAAAAAAAGAAAGCTCTCCCTCCTTGCCTGAGTAGACATTCCCCGAGTGGGATCAGCCCAAGAGGACTAACATACGGAAGCATTTCCACCAGCAAGTCCAAGTACTGGAATAAAAACTTGATGTCTGAAATGTGAAATGGAAGCAAAAGGAGAAGCATAGTTTCACCAAACCATTTCCCCCATTCACTTAGGCATGCTCTCTGAAATCCTGGAGGAGCACTATGGTACGGGAGGAACCCTGCACTGAACTGGGAGGTCTGAGTTCTAATATGCTTCTGCTCTGGGGCAAATCAATTTTTGCTCATTCATTCAGTCTCTACTAAGAGCCTACCAATTGGACGCCTGGGTGGCTCAGTTGGTTAAGCGACTGCCTTCGGCTCAGGTCTTGATCCTGGAGTCCCGGGATCGAGTCCCGCATCGGGCTCCCTGCTCAGCGGGGAGTCTGCTTCTCCCTCTGACCTTCCTCCTCCTCATGCTCTCTGTCTCTCATTCTCTCTCTCTCTCAAATAAATAAGTAAAATCTTAAAAAAAAAAAAAAAAGAGCCTACCAATTTGCTAGGTCCAAACAGTCAGGGTTTTCCTGGACACTAGCCTAAAAGGCCCTTCTTACCTCCGTTGTCACTTCACTCAGCAAAATCTACCCTTTTCAGGAAAGCTCTACCCTCAGACATCCCAACTGATCTATTCCCGTTATCATCCACCTTCCAGGCACCATATGTTTACATTTGATTCTGTGATTATTGGATCAGGGTGAGTCTCCCCCAAATGACTATAAACTTAAAAGGGTAGGGACCCTGCCTTTTTCTCCCCCTTGTTTAGTACCAGCAAGGCCCTGGTACTCCTCAGAACATACAGATTGAATACATGCTACAAAGAAAAAGGGTAACCCCTTTGGGGGCAGGGGGGAAGAAGAAGAAGAAAAAAAAAAGTATGAATGCTTTGAGTGTTTAAGAAGGGAATCTGATCTGATCTGGTATGTCCCTGAGGAAATGTCCAGAAGGATAAATCCTTAGGAGGTGGAAGAGAGTGTTCTGGGCAGAGGGACAGGCCCTAAGCAAAGGCTCTGAGGCTGGACGGAGTCTCTGGTGCAGAGCAGACAACAATGGGGGAAGAGGAGGCTGGGGAGGGCCCAGACTCTGCAGGGGCTTGAAGACCACATTCTGGAACTTGGACTTTATCTCAAAGGCTATGGGAAACAAAGTAAGGTTTACATTTACATTTTAAGCAGATAACCCCGGCTGCAGAATGGGGAATAGATTTCAGAGCAGCAGTGGGAGAGCTGGGGAGACCAGTTTGGAGGGGATCACAAGGTCCCGCTGTGAGAAGGTGGTGACTTGAACGAGGCAGGAGGTGATGTAGAGGGGGGAAGTAGGTCTCTGTTGGACCTGTGAGTGGTGACGGAGGTGGATCACAACTGTGTCTCTCGAATAGTGAGGTGCCCAAGCAGGGTTCCTGCCTCCTCCCTGCCACTCCTTGGCAACCACAGAAACTTGGCTTTTAAATCTGCATTAGGTATTGCAGTGCCTTGTCCATTTTGCTTGGAGAAAGGAGTCCCTTGTTAAACAAAAAATCCAAATAGCTTTCCATCAATTATCAGACTTAATTTCTGGGGCAAAAGAAACATTCCTTTTCTGATTTCATGTTTTATGTGTGCTCATTCTCCTTTCACCCACCTGTGCTGGCAGCAGGTTTGGGTTGATTCTGCCTGGTTATGGGAGGCAGCATGAGACCTCCCCCCGCCGCCCCCCCCCCAGGCTATCAGGTTTCTGTTTACAATAAGAAGGAGGGTCAGAGCTTTCAAAGATGAATGAGCTGTCTAGGAGGTGTGTAACCAGTGTGTTAGATGCTGTCAAGGTGAGGAGGAGTCCCTACAATTAGAGGTTCCCAAATTCTGGTTCTACATCACAATCGTATGGGGATTTATTTCTTGAGTAGATAATCCATTTGTACGGTACAAATTCAAATGATACCAAAAAGTCCTACAGTAAATCTCCTCCTCATCCCTGTGCCAGCTACCCTGTTTTCTTCCCTGTTGGTCACCACTGTGGCCAGCTTTTTTGTGTCTCCTAGAGTCTGTGTCTGTGCTAACGGTACATTCTCTCCCACATACACTTGTGATTTTTCCCGGACGGCAACATATTATAAACACTGTCCTGAACATTTCTTTTTTCACTTGATGTATCTTGGAGATGGTTCAATATCACAGAGTTCCTCAGTTTCTTCTTCTTCTTCTTCTTTTTTTAAGATTTTATGTATTCAGGGACGCCTGGGTGGCTCAGTCGGTTAAGCGTCTGCCTTCGGCTCAGGTCATGACCCCAGGGTCCTGGGATCGAGTCCCGCATCAGGCTCCCTGCTCCGCGGGGAGCCTGCTTCTCCCTCTGCCTCTGTCTCTCTCTCTGTCTCTCATGAATAAATAAATAAAATCTAAAAAAAAAAGATTTTATTTATTCATTTGAGAGAGAGAGCGCACGAGAGGTTGGGGGAACGGGTAGGGGGGAAGGGCAGAGGGAGAGGAAATAGCAGACTCCCCACTGAGCAGGGAGCCTGACATGGGGCTCAATTCCAGGACCTGAGATCATGACCTGAGCCTAAGGCAGGTGCCTTAACCGACTGAGCCACCCAGGTGCCCTCCTCAGTTTCTTTTTTGATGACTACCAATTTGGGGAGCTTTTTTGAAAATACAGACGCTCTGGTCTCCCTTGGATTTTTTGATGTCACAATTTTAGCATGGGGCTCTGATTGGTATCTGCGCTATCAGAAAGTTCTCTGAATTGTTCTGATACACAGCCAGGTTGGGGAACGACTGAACTGTTTGGATTTTAAGGACGTCGAGGACCAGAGATCACACACATTATTTGATATGTAATTTGAATTTCTACTATATTGTGCTGGGTAACAAGTCTTGTAGGATGGTATTCTGAGCACAGGCTATGTCTTGTCTCATGGCTAAATGTTTGCTCTCAA